GTGTTACATGCTGACAAATAGGCAGTCTGGTACATTTCTAATCCAAGTTAGATGCGCAAAGATTGACCAACTATTGCACGTCAAACTATACGTTATACATTAAAATCAATAAAATATAACAAAAGGGTCAGGTTAATACAATCATGTCAATGGCGAAACAGCAACAGTTAAACGTTGATGCTCTTGTACAGAACAAACGTGACGATCTCAACAACTGTAGCCGGATTCGATATAATCTTGAGTATCCCTCTTGCAATATAACTACACATATATTCCCGTACTCTCCTGATATGTCTTCTGATTCTCGATTACATCATTCATACTACAGCGTAATTAAGCAAAACCATTCATATTAGCATTCCATGTCGTAGGAAAGGAGAAAAATACCGGAACTCATTTATAGTTCTCTCGATGAATAGCTGTATAGTTCTGCCAAATTTAGCTAGTTTTTTTTTTACCGAAACACGTGACATTGCTGTACTAATCAATTTGTTGCATTGTTAGAAGTTTCATTTTTTAGAACTATTCCAGAAAGCATACAGCATTAGAAATATGGCGGAAATAAGCAATAAGCCATAGTCATAAAGCGGGTACAGCCGTGATGAATTGCTTTTATGATCTATCGAGGTAGTTTATTGCGAGATAGAACCGCGTGTACGCGCCAAATATGACGCTCATATATAATACCGGTCATGTAGCAGGTGTTTAATAATAGGTTGGTACATTGTCACGATTCCGAGTGATTACAGGTTTACTGTCCATAATACCATCTCCACGATTTCAAGCAATGCGCGTGTACGCGTGCCGGTGCATGGGTACGAGGGCTACGAGACAAATCGTTACAGACATGATGGTGAGACCCTGGCCACGAGGAAGAGTAGATCTGGGAAGGAAACTAATCTGAACTGACCAACTGAATCTGAACAATTAATCTGAACAACTAATCTGACAATCTGAACTACAACTAATCTACAATCTACTGAATCTACTGAAACTGTCTACTACTACAAAAACCTGAATCTACAACTAATCTAACAATCTGAACAACTAATCAAGAACTGACAACCTACTTAAACTCGTCGTCACGGTGGTGGTAAATAAATAAAGTTGTCTCTTTATTATCCGACCTAAACTCGATCTACAGTTGTTCGGATACATATGCCAGATAATAAGGACATAACACGGGAGTGGGGTGAAACGAATCGCATATTAAATGGAGGTGCAGAATAAGTATGAAATCTGGTTTATTAATTACCATTCTACAGTATAACTAAAATAATAGTCTCGATGAATTGATAGTTGAACTCACATAAACTCACGACTATTGAAAACAATATCCTCACGTGAATCCACACGGCTCTGTGTGAGTAACGGGGACACTCGATTTATGATCATTTCTTCGTTCTATAAAAACATCAAAATTCGCGCTGTTTTAGACGTAAACCACAAACAAGCCGTGGATAGATTGACATTCGCGTGTTTCTAACCTGTATCCGAAGATAATGATAGGAAAACACTTACTCGAGTCACCCAACGACTGCCATCGGGTAATTGCCTTAGGGCGTAGAGCGGCAATGGCAAACATGTCAAAACGGATATTTCGAAAGTTGGCGATCGAAGGCGCAGGGCGCGCAGGGCCGCGGCGTGTGTGGAGTAGCAAAGCGGTGCGCCTCGTCCCGAACGCTGAAGCTTTTAAGGAAATGTGGTTATGTGTACGCGCTCGCACATACTCATCGTTGCTCGTCAGTCTCTCCCATCAGTCTCATCATAGCAGCTGTACGCCGCTCCCCGATTGTAGCAAATCTTCGCTTTGCATGCGAGTAGGCGTTAATGTAGAGCGGCGCGACGTTAGGTTGATAGTGCGGAATGCTAGGGGAATAGATCGATGACGTGATGTTGGTAGTGTAAAATAGTAGGAAAAATAGCGTCGGGCGTTGTACATGAGCGCAATAGGTGTGACGTTAAGTTAGCAACGTATATTAGTAGTGAAAGTTATATACAAAAAATCATATGTGATCAAATTACTTGCGAAGCGATAGGTGGACTAATGGATGGATGGGTGGAAAGATAGATCGATGGATAGATGGATGGATGGATGGATAGATGGATGGATGGATGGATGGATGGATGGATGGATGGATGGATGGATGGATGGATGGATGGATGGATGGATGGATGGATGGATGGATGGATGGATAAATGGCTGGATGGCTGGATGGTTAGATGGAAGGATGGATGAATGAATGAATGAATGAATGAACGAATGAACGAATGAATGAATAGAAAAAGACAGGCAGACGGACGGACGAATGAACGGACGGACGGGCGGACGGACGGACAGACGGATGGACGGACGGGCGGGCAGACAAACAGACAGATAGACAGAAAGACAGACAGACAGACAGACAGACAGACAGACAGACAGACAGTCAGACAGACAGACAGATAGACAGACGGACGGACGGAAGGACGGACGGACGAAAATACATATAATGCGCATACACACGGCAGCGCGCGCTGTTCCCCCCCCCACACTCCGCGCGCACGTGATGCAAAACGAAACTGATCATCATACGCTAATCCGGGTGTGATTCCGCCTCTACGTCAGAGTCTATTTCGACCGAGTGCGCAGGGATCGTTAGTTTGCGGAGGCACCGCTCAGCGCGAATCTCTCCGCTAACAGCCTCGCCGACGTCGCCGCATCATGCGATTATTGTTTTAAACGCAGCGCCGTTACTAATTACCAAGCGCCGCAACAATATCAATACGGCGCTCGGCCGAAATTGGAACGGACAATAATATCCCCTGGCTGTTAGCGCACGACGCTGTGTGATGCGCGCTGCCGACGATTACGCAATCGACGATTACGTAGCGACAGTAGTCGCTCGCTGCGTGCGTCTCTACTTACAGTCGCAGTACATATCCATTTTTAAAGATGCGACGCGTTGACGCTCGTTTCAGCATTTTACTTCAAGTCGATTATTGGCCGGCGGTGTGTTTAACATTCGTCGATTTCGCGAGAAATATACGCCGCTATGCGAGCGCGAGCGCGGCAAGCGCAAGCCACACTATGTTCATCACGCTAGCTCCCTCTTTTCTGTCTATTTATCTATCCATCTATCTATCTATCTATCTATCTATCTATCTATCTATCTATCTATCTATCTATCTATCTATCTATCTATCTATCTATCTATCTATCTATCTATCTATCTATCTATCTATCTATCTGTCTGTCTGTCTGTCTGTCTGTCTGTCTGTCTGTCTGTCTGTCTGTCTGTCTGTCCATCCGTCCGTCCGTCCGTCCGTTCGTCCGTCCGTCCGTCCGTCCGTCCGTCCGTCCCTCCGTCCGTCCGTCCGTCCGTCCGTCCGTCCGTCCATCCGTCCATCCGTCGGTCCGTCCGTCTGTTCGTCCAACCAACCGCCCGCCCGCCCTTGTATCAGCCTGTTCTGCTAGCATCTATGACAAATACGACATACGCATATAAGCTCTCCTATGACACTATTTGTCATGGGAAGATTCTTCCTATGACAAATATTTTTGTATGTGTTGTGCGCATCATAGGAGTTTAGGAGCGCTATTATGAACGCAAGTAGTGAATTTCAGCTGTAAAGCGGAACGAAGTTGACTCGCCAATATTTCTCATATAGGAAGAATCTTCCTATGACAAATAGTGTCGTAGGAGAGCGTATATGCGTATGTCGTATTTGTCATAGATGCAAGCAGAACAAGTTGCTTGTATAGAGCGACATGTTTACAGATATGTACAGAAATCGTTTTCGATTGTTCTTGTTTCAGGTGAAAATCTGGTTCCAGAACCGTCGCACCAAATGGAAGAAGGCGGAGAACATATCAAACATCGAGGCTGCTCAGTACAAGGTGGGCGCTGACGGCGCGCGACCCAAGCAAAAGGAGCCGACGACGACGACGACGACGACGACGACGACGACGACGACGACGACGGCGACGACGATGCAGACACAGGATACCGACGCATTGCCGTGCATCGCTCAAGTCGACGCCGCCGCCGCCATCGTTGTCGTCGCCACGGCACCGATCGAAGCGACCCCTACAGGTAAAACGAACAACAATTACAAGCCGGCCAGCGGCACCTTGAGGGAGAAGATGAAAGCTGACAGCGGGGAGGGCGGCGAGTGCGACGCCGCCGATATCGATACGAAGAACAACAGCGACAACGGCGGCTGTGGCGGCGGCGACAACGATGACGACAGCGAAGCGCGATTCCTGTGTCTGGCCACGCGCGACGTGCCGAAACCCAAGCTGGACGCGCAGACGGCGCAGAGCAAAGCAGACAAGAAACACGATGCTGGCCTCGCCTCATCCCTGCCAAATGGCTCAGCTCCGCTCGATGTTCAGTAAGATACGGGGAGGCGCAGATGGGGGGCTGGATTAAACCCCCGCTTCGCGCCCGCCGCTGTCGTGATCGCGCTCCGACTCACAACCGTGCCTGCCACAACATTCCTGCCATTTGAAGAAAACTTAAGAACCGTCGTGCATGAAAAAAAATCACTCCGGGGGCGCGATATGATACACGTGTTTTTCAGGGTGAGCGCTCATCAGTCGTATAGCTGCCTCGTTAACGCGTCTGCGTGTGAGTGCGCGCGTGTGTGCGTGGGCACGTACGTCCGTACACGGGCCGCCGTCGTTCGCGTATAAACTCGGCTCCGTGGGCCGATCACGACGCGGTTGCGCCAATCGCGCCGGCGGCCGGCTCGCTGTCACTTCCACGCAAGCAGGAGAGACTCAGGATCGCTATTTATGATAATTGGTCGCAGCAGTTTCAGCGACTGTCGGCTTCATTAGGCGCTGTAAAATGGCTGTTAATAGTCTATAGCAATTTGCGCATTTTTCTTTCGTCGCGCGAGAGTTGTCGTGAAGCGTGATCAGTTCGTCGTCAGCGCTGAATGGCGCGTAATTGCCGCGTCTCCTCGAATCGTACACTCGGAATTATCACAGAACCTTTAACAGATATTGTAATTATATTTTCTTGTGCGCCGATGATAAACCAAACGCAAGTGCGTCCGTGTGATTAGTTAATTAGAACAAGTAAACGTGTGCACCCACAGATGCAGATCCATACGAACATACAAGTCATGCAGACACACGCTCATACGTACGCACGCACGCATGCACGCTCGCACGCACGCATGCACGCTCGCACGCACGCATGCACGCTCGCACCGCACACACGCACGCACACACACACACACATATATATATATCCAGAAAATATAACGCACAAACAAGACAAAAAGAGAACGAGAGAAACCGAGACAGAGAGAGAAGGAAGGCTCGCCATCTGCGATACAGCCGCTCTGTGCGTATAATTAACCAACGACGGCAAGCCGCGCTTTTACGACGTTGTTGCGCTGCCGTGCGCGCGGCAATTCCGGATGGACCGGGCACCGGAAAGTTGCAATAACTCCGGCGCAATCTATCAGCAATATAGCCGTTTGTCAATATAGCGGCGCGGTAGCTCGCCGTGCGTGCACTCGGCGCGCTCACGCGGCGGTTACCATGCAGCGAGCGTCGCGTCTCGCCTCAATATCTCCTGATTTATACACGGCCATAAAGAAAATTATTAGCGCCTTATCATGATAAGGATGCCGATTTCACGAAACGGGCTTTCACGTCGTGCGACGTTTCGCTCCGGCCGATATATGATCTGGGGTGCGATTGAGGTGAAACATTAGGCGGCTTTATAGTGTTTGCACGCACCGCACACGCACGATGTGCGGCTGCAGCGGTGAAAGATGAAGAAACGCGTATAGCATCATCATGACACGCCTCGGCGATACTGCATCAATATTCTCTCCCATATCCCCTTCGTCGTCGTCCTCCTCCTCATTTTCTTCTTCTTCTTCTTCTTCTTCTTTTTCTTCTTCTTCGTCATCATCATCACCTTCTTCTTCATCTTCTTTCCCTCCCCCTCCTCCTCCTCCTCCTGCTCCTCCCCATCATCAGTATCCCCCACGTTCTCCCTTTCGCGCGCATTATTTCTCTTTTTCTCACGCTTTTTCACAATGTTTTTGTTTTTTGTTCTTATTTAATTCACGGCCCGTCTCTCTGTCTATCTAATTCATCGGCGTATCATGGCTATATAAATTGTCTGTCCATGGTTTATCCGTTCGCACCACCCTCGCTCTTTTTTCACTATTAGAGCTGTGTTTAAACCATCAGGCGGGTTTCCCACCACAACCCAGCGAACCTGAGATGAGTTTTCTGATACTACGATTTTATATGCCTTAGCTTGACTCTTTATTAAAACCTCTCGGCGCACTACATTCACGCGCTCTGTAACTCCCTCAGCGCGATATTGTATTTGTGAAACCGCTATCTATGATATACCCCGCCATAAACGATACATAAGGATTAGCGATTCCTCTGTGCTTTATCGGCCGTATTTTCCTAGCAAACAATTTAGAATTGAGTGTGTCTGTGCCGCAGCGTGCGCACCACTGCCTTCGCTCCCTTCGCGCTAACAGCGCCATCTATACGTATTTGCAGCAGCATTACAACCTTTGTTAACTAACGTTCTACGATCTTATTACTATTTATATACTTTATTTAGTGCCTATATCAGACGATGTTGACACGGAAAATGCATGCGTATTCTAGCCAGCTGTTGTCGCATCTATTACATGTATTACTATATAATCGATCCAATAACCAAGAAGTCGTATTTTGACACTTAACTTGTGCTAGAACTACGGCTTATTATGATACTTCATTACCATATTCACAGTGTATGTTAATACTGGACGATAATCTCCCTTTTGTTTAAGCTCTTTCTACAGAACCTCAACCAACCTTCTTACTTATAATTCCGACATCGAGCCGAATTTCCGACATCGTGAATGCAAACTGCAGCTTAGCTAGAGCTAGGGTCCCTATATATAAAGGGACCCTAGCTAGAGCTAGGGTCCCTGTATAGCTAGAGCAGGTTCAACGCGCCACCTAGTAGACGCAGAAATTATGAAAAGGATAAGCATTTAATCACGTTTATTCTCACAGTCGCAACTCCTCAGAGGGCATTAAGATAAGCTGGTATTGTTGACAGTTTTTACTGCCGACATAGCTGATAATCACACTATTTCAATCATGCACAACTAGATATAAATGCGCATTAACGTCGAAATACTAACGTGCTTGTTATAATCTAATATACAAATCGTACTCTAATATACAAATATATAAATATATATATATATATACGCCTAGGGAGAGCCCGAAACGGGCATTACACAGAATAATAATGTAGTACAAATATCTATCGCTTCATCGATCATTTTTTGTTCAAATTCTTTAGTCTTCGTTTACTTTTTTCTTTTATACTGTTTGATTCTCTTTATGTTGAAGCATTCACAAGATGTATGCACAAAATCTCTTATAGTTGTATTGTAATATACAAATAACACGATTATAAATACACTATAAATAACACTATATATGTATACGAAGCGCATGAAGCACAAACACTTATGCTTAACTTGTATGCTGGCTTTACCATACAACATATATGTAACACTAACAGTTATTTTCGTTTAAACATATTTGTTTAAATAAATATTTGTTAAGTTTTTATTGAGCGGCGGAGTCGTTTTGTCATCCCTTGAGCAGAGCCTTGAGTGATGAACGGTGTACGGTGCCGCCCTCTAGGAGTGAAAGAAGAAGAAGAAGTAGAAGCTCGTTGTTATTTGACAGTTTGCTGAGATTCATCATTTCGTGACGGTGATTGGTTGAAGCTTGTAGGAGAATCCGGTCAGCCAGTAAGTCATACAATGTCCTTTGCCCTGTCATGTAAGCGCAACAAGATAAATAAATAATCCGACCATGCACTCCACGCTAACATGTCTCATAACATGTATGAACATAGCGACAAATTCTTATTCGAAATCTATTCCCACTTTTTTTTCTTGTTAGTTTCCTGCTGCGAGCGGATGACATATATATAATGCCATTAAAACTTATGTCATCTTCGCCGCAAATTTATTTAAAAAAAAAACTAACCTTGATATCAATTCCGCCTCTTGGCTCGACTGTGTAGCCATCAAACAACACCAGGGCTCGCATGGTGGGCTCGCTCAGATGGATCTTCATAGCTGTAAATATTGTCTGAACATAATTGTCGGCTCTACCGTTGACGATTTAATTAATAGCAGATCCCCACAGATAGCACTGAATCGAATAATCCAAATCTTGATTATTTACTCGCCACATTAATTTGCTTGTTATAAGGGTAAGGTAAGATAACTAGGATTCGGGAGCTTTAGCTTCTAAGGACTATTCACTCAGGACACCAGCATTGACTATTTGAGCTGTAGTTAATTCATCAAGAATTCATAACGCTCATCATCACGACTACCACTACCAACAACAACAACGACACCGTCACCGTCACCGTCACCGTCACCGTCACCACCGTCACCGCCGCCGCCGCCGCTGCCGCCGCCGCCGCCGACGACGACGACGACGACGACGACAACGACACAGTCACCACCACCGTCACCGTCACAGTCACCGTCACCGTCACCACTGTCACCGCCGCCGCCGCCGCCGTCACCGTCACCGTCACCGTCACCACCGTCACCGCCGACGCCGCCGCCGCTGCCGCCGCCGCCGCCGACGACGACGACGACGACGACGACAACGACACAGTCACCACCACCGTCACCGTCACAGTCACCG